TTTGGGTCCGAGTTGACCTGATCCCATTAGGCCCAACCCCCAAAACCGAAGAACTGTGGGGTCGGTCCGACGTCGAGATCGTGGCGGACATCGGACCCCATCACACTCTAGTTTTGGAGGGTAGTTTGCAGTGCAAATTCCAGTCGTGTGTTCACACCATATGGCTATTCACTTTCTATAAAACTGATCTGTTGCTTTTTAAACTATTTCAAATCAGAAACTCACATTCACGCAGATGAAACAGATACCGCTAACGTTGAGGCCTTTACGCTAAAACATAAACGTCGAATTATATCAGTGAAACACGTGTGCGTGGTACATACCAAGTTACCAACCGACCTAGACTTCTTCAATAAGAATTTCATTATCTCATGAACGGGGACCATATCAGACGCTCTCAAAATTTTCATTCGGAATTGACCATTGGGCACCAGACTGCCTCGGCCCTTTCATAATAATTCAAAAACGCCAGACGTCTACAAAAGAACATGTAATGGTAATGGCTGCCGGCCTGCACCTCGGCCGTCGATATCACATGACATCCCGCAAAGTGCCTGCATGGGGCAGACGCTCGGCGCGGGAGTGATGCAATCTAGCCAGTCTTGTATTCCTCCGAATTGGCCGTGCAAGTTCAAGTACCCACGTTAAGATACGCGGCTATTTCTGAACTTGAAGTTCAGAGTTTTAAAGAAATACGCCTACTGGTATTTTTTGTCAATTCCATTGTATTTCCAGCGTCACTCAACTCGTCAAAAAGTTGGAATATGCACAAACTCTGAATACAGGCAAATATTGAAAATCACCATGTGGCAGCTCGAACATCTTAAAATTTGTATGAGAAAGGAGATGTACATAAAAGTACATTTTATTCTGAAACACCATTTGGTTGTGTGAGGAATTATTTTCGTCAATGATAGACCCATTTAGACGTTACCAGTTAGGCCCCTTAGGCTACCCTTAGGCCTCAGTTCTTGAGCTACCTTCAGTTTACATTGCTTATAAAAGAAAAGAGCTGTCTCTTCAACAAACAGGCTTTTTGTTGTTTAGTCTCTTCTTTGACCAGGGATTTTTCATTAAGATGTTAGTTATAATTGTTTTGAAAGTAAGAAGCAGTCGGAGAAATCGAGACCCCTCCCCCATCTAACCTACGCAACACTTACGTGTTTGTGGCTCCACCGGCGCCTCCACTGAGGTTTGATTTTTCTTCCCTAAATATATTATAATGGCAGAAAGAAGATTAAGGGGTTTTTCATAGCGTTTTAAAAGCCCCTGAACTTGTCACTTCACAGAAACGCCATTATACACACATCATAATTGTTTGGCCCCTTTCATTCTGAGGATATATTGTCTCCCCTTGTAACCCATTTGCGATTTTTTTTTAAGTTTCCCAAAGTGGTTCTTACGTTTAATTTTAAATATTGATCAATGTTAATGTTCACTAAAAACAAAAACAAAGTAATGAAATTCATTATGAAACAGGTTTAGGATGAGCTTAATTTTAGCTCGAATCAAGTCTAACTTTATCAGGGCAGTCACGAAACGAGTCTACTTGTTCTCTGGAAACTTCTTTCCTGACCCACGTGTAGGTACCAAACCAATGCACGCACGTACGATACGTTCAGGGCCGGCGCATATTCAGACTCGACCAGACACAGATCGGTGAAATCTCAGGTAATAAGCTCCTATCCCTCAAGTTTAATAAATGATATTTGCATTCCAGATGTTTTGGGAAAAGGAAAGGAATAAATTTAGTGTTCATTTGGTGTTAGTTACCCATCTGCCCTCCGTAAATAGCGGCTACCGTACACATTGGTAGGCCTCCCCCTGCAATAGGTCAAATCACGAAGGAAGACAAACCATGGTGGCTAACTCCATCCAGTGACTTAAGCCTATGGACGTGACGGACAGCGACACAGTGGGGTCCAAAATCTTTCCACAGGCTTTTGTACCATTATTGATTTCACTGAACATGCTTAAAATTCCTTACTTTTTCTTGACATACATGGCACGACGAAGACATGGATATGATGAACAGGATGGAAGAGATGTGAAAAACTGAAGCAAGATGAAATCAGCAAGAAACCAGATTACAGTGCTAGTCACCAATTTGTCTTGGTCACCATGGTCACAATTAACTCTTCCTCACGCTTGTGTGTATTGCCAGTCTACCCCACAATTCCCTCAAAACTTAAAGCCCTGCCCCCTTTTTACTAACTCTATTTTTCTGATATGATCAAGGGGAAATCACTGCCACTGCTCAAATTTTACCATGGCCATGGCGATTGGTGTCCTTACAATTGGCTACGTACGGTTCCCTGAAAATTTCTACCTTATTGATGGCTAAAGCTGGCTGTGTACCCCATTCTTCCCTGCAGTGGTGACCCATAAAAAAAATACCCTATACTTCCTGTCAGTTTCTGACTTCATATTTACGTGATTGTATTTTATGTTGCGGTGTACCAGAAGAAAATCGTCTTAACACCACATGGGTGCATGGCCAGGGCAGCCAATATGGCAAACCGGGTGTGCTGCGCCATACTGTGTGATGAGGCTTGCCTGCGCTGCGATTGGCTTCTATTTACAATACATAAGTGAACGTGTATTTTGTTCTGCAGCCCAGTGGTTGGTGCATGATTATTCGCTGCAGGCACGTACGGGTGTGTGGGACCAACCAGCCTAGCATAGCATAATGTGGATGGGCTTAGGCCATGTCCGAAACAGGCCTCCACAGCTACGGCCAGGTCTTTTGTCCCCCTAGTTTTGGATTGCATATGCACGCACACAGCAGACTCAACTACATGTGCATAACTGATTATTTCATGACGTTTTGGATTGGTAAACTCGTGCTGTGCATTAGAAAAAGATACGTCAAAATAAAAACAAACCATGTTCTCTTTGTTTAATTTATGGATTAATTCACTTGAATTCTTTTTTATGAATTAATTTTCTCTTAATAAGAAATCCTTTGACAGAAAATGTGCCTGCTCCTTCCTATAATATATTTTGTCTTGGGTTATAAAATTTTTAAGCTAAATATGATATTTCAAGCACATAAAACAACATTTTTTGTTGTACCAGTTTCGTAACTTGTTTGCAGAATTTTTTACACCTTAGCCTCAGTGCCTTTCCTTTGTAGAAATTTTGGCCTTGTTGCCCCAGTTATTGACTGCGGTGCCCTTAACATGTCCCATTTCTTGAGGCCAAAATGGCATTGCGCCCAAAAGTAAAAATTCAAGCTCTGCACTGTCAATTTATCGAGGTGAGTTGATTTGTAAAAGCAGGCCAAGATTTTATTTTCTTTTTATAGGAATGGCACTAAACATGCTTAAAGGTAAGGAAAACCAAAATGGCTCATACCTGAATCCAAATCCTCAAATTTCACCTCCAAACTGATGTGCCCACTCCAGGATTCAGTCAGAAATGGACATTACATTGGTGGTGGTAAGGTTTACTTTCATTCAGGAAGAAAAGAGAAATTTTCCCTTCAAATCAGAAATACTTTTGTTGTCGAGCTTGAAGTCACCATCTCCATGTAATGATTCAAACTGTATTAAAGCATACAGGAAGAAAATCAACAACATCACTATACTGGCTGAGTGCACCATTCTTAATTGAACATGTGGTATATGCAGGGATATTCCAACAACTGTTTTCTGAATGCGTCAATGTTCTGTGTACAACTTGAATAAAACAGCTACCTGACATATGCCACTTAGGAAACTGTCGTCAGCAAATCCACAGGCTCCATTATGAATGGTCCACAGAGCTGGCACGTCATGTTGTGCTGGATATTTTCACTGTCCTTTGCACAAACAATTAAAATTGCGCAACATGAGGATGGTGACTTTGAGCTCATTGATAAGAGAAATTTCAATTTAAAAAGGAAATTTTCCTTTTCTTTTCAAATCCTGCTGAATTCTACAGTGAGCATAGTAGACAGTTGAAGGATAATTTGGGGGGTAAAATCTGAGGATTTTGATTTGGGTATGAGGCCAAAGTAATACATGTAGTTGTGCTTCCTATTACATTAAAAAAAAAAACAGGTTGGGTAGGTGGGTAATTTGTTTTTCTTCTAAAGTTTTTGGGTCCAAAATTTCAGGGTGGGGAATTTTTTTATAAGAAAATATTGATTTTGACGGTCTGCTGTGTATTCCACCCACTTGTTGCCCCCACAGATTCATAACTTGAGGATCGGTCTTGTCAAAGATTGTATCCAAGTTAGAGTCTCTTTGGACAATAAAACATTTGTGTTGCACTGACATTTTGATAAGTTTATGTCCAAAATTGTTTGAAAGCTCATAGAAAATGATGCACATAAGAGTACTAAAACCCTGCGCAATGATGCCATTTGTCATGGAAACCCTCTTGGAGAGCGAAAATATACTAACCTTATTTCAAGCTGTAAATTCGCAGTGAAGTGTGTGCTACGGCAAGTTGTAGTGGAGATTGTTACATGCAGTCACTACCTCAACTCAGAAATAGCTGTAATGAGTCCCACTTACACATGTGTGAATCTTGATGTTTCATTGGCAGCCAATCACAACACAATGACCAGATGGTCCCAGGATGCTGTTTACACACAAGACTTGTGCTTCAAGCCGCACAGAGATACATGTCAGTGTACGTGCATACTGTACATGTAGAGTCAGTCGCACGTGCTTTACAGAGCTCCAGTTCTGTTGGGTGTCCGAACAAAGAAGTGCAAAGTTTGCCCCGGCCATTGTGTCACATCGGTAGAAAAAGATAAAAACAGGAAAATCGGTGCTCATGCAAGGAATTTATTCCTTGCAAAACAAGGAAAATCCAGCCTGTCGATGGCAAAATAGTGGAAAATGAAATTTTGCATACTCAATAAAAAAGCAGAGATTTCATACCCCGGAAATAAGCATGAGGGTCGGCAATTGCATTTTTTATTTTGATCTCCTTCAATAAAAAGATTTAGGTTCTGCGTGATTTGCTAGGTTGGTGCGGGTAACCAGAAGCACAACTATTACATGTATTTTGTTTGGCCTGAACTATGTTGAGTGATATCAATTAATGGTACAAAAGGCCTGTGGAAGGTTCTCTACCTACGGGGACCTGTGGTAGGGACTGCACTCTCACCAACCGTGTCCATGTTCTGAAAGAGCCAATTCGTAGAGTCATGGAAACTAAAGTAAGACAAGATGCACTAGTACCTCCCCCCAACTATAGCTGGGAAAGTCCTCCTTAGTTTTACAGTTGTGCTGTCCTGTATTTCCGCAGAAAAACTCTCAAAGTTCTTTACCTTTATGCAGCTTACACCTGACATAATTCATCCAATATATAGAACTTCATCTATGACAGAAATAGAAACTTATTTCTGCAAGCACAAGTTGTTGATAAAAACAACATGACTTTGCCACATGCTGTGGCATGTTCATGGACATACATTGGACCACTGTGCTGTAGTTACATGGGCCAAACTGTAGCACTGTAGTCGTTACGATCAGTATTTTATTTACATTACAGTGTAGACTACTAGTCCTAGATTCCTGTCACACAGTATTGGCCACAACCCAAAACAGTACAGAAAATGCCTGATGAGATGCCAACCCCAGGAATACTGGACTACCTCCGTCCTTTTTATTGATTTCTCCCTTGATGCAGTGACCATGTTGCGTTTACCAGCTGTCATGAGGCCCCTGTTGACCAGGGCTATAGCACCATCTTCTTCCTATGCTGCTCCTACATTGACACGTTGCTATGCTAAGGACATCAAGTTTGGTGCTGAGGGAAGATCACTGATGCTGGAAGGAGTAGATCTCCTTGCTGATGCAGTGGCAATTACGCTGGGACCAAAGGTACTGGTCTTTCTTTGGAAGTAGTTTGAGGTGCAGAGAATGTATTCAGCATGTCTTACAAGTTTCATCATCAACATGTCCATTTGTATCCATTGATCCATCCCAATATTCTCCTATATTAGCTCTGTTTGATTCTGTAAAGTCTGACTGTAAAGTTAAAAGGCCACATTCACTTTTAGTTGCAACAGAATGCAAAAGCTTGACCTGCAATATATTTGTTTTTTGCCCACATTGCAGATTGCCTTTCTAAAAACTCACTTTTATTGAAGATAATTTTATTAAGTTAGTATTGTGATCTCAAAAGTGCTTGAATTTATAAAAAGTCCATTTCAACTTGATTCTGACATGATGCCTAATTTTGACATACCACATCACAATTTTGCCGAAAATCATCATGTGCCTTCAACATCAATCTCACTGCAACTTGTAGGTTAATATGTATGCAAGTTATGTTCTTTGTAAGATGATTTGTTGTCAGGCATGGAAAAGGTACATAGGCCTGTAGATGGAGAGCTTCCTATATGCTGAGATGCTATCAAACTTGAAGTATCTTGTACTCCATTCTGGCTAGGGGCGCAATGTGATCATCGAGCAGAGCTGGGGGAGCCCCAAGATTACTAAGGACGGAGTTACCGTCGCTAAATCAATTGAGCTGAAGGATAAACAAAAGAACCTGGGAGCTAAGCTGGTCCAAGATGTAGCTAACAATACCAATGAGGAGGCTGGAGACGGCACCACCACTGCAACTGTCCTCGCTAGATCCATTGCCAGGGAAGGCTTTGAGAACATCAGCAAGGGAGCCAACCCTGTAGAGATCCGCAAAGGAGTCATGATGGCAGTGGACTGTGTGGTTGATGCCCTCAAGAAACTCTCCAAACCTGTCACTACCCCAGAGGAAATAGCACAGGTACGATTATTGGTGACAGAAGTGCCGTAACCTTCATTCACTAGCCTTACAATCTGTACAATCCCAAATCAAGTGGATGAGTTTGAGAGATTTGAGACTGAGTGGGTCTTAGGATTCTGATTTAGGGTATTGGTGGATGTTGCAAAGTTTGCTGCGAAGATAGTGCAGTGTACAATGACAGCTGTGCATCTTTGTTCTGCTTACCAACTTACGCAAAGAGTGACTTCAGTATGGGCAGCTTAAAGTGAGGGAGTTCTGCATATTTCTCATCACTCTCCTTTCCTTTCAGGTGAAAATGTTTGCATGTTGATGGATGTAAAGGATATCTGTTCAGAGGAGAAAATTGAAATCTCTGGTTATTCAGTTATGGTGTGTTCAAAAACTAGTGAATTTGCTCTGTCAAACTGAATATACAGTAAACTCCGACTGTGTCGGCATCACGTAACTCATCATATCGTCTAAGTTGGCCTTTTGACAAAAGTCCTGATAGTCTGCAATGTATTTCCAGTGAAAATTTCATTTCAAAGTCAGCATTTATGAGTCGTCATTTTGTATAAGTTGGCATGTTTTTCTCGGTCCCTTTTCCACAAAACCACAAAATTCCTTTGTGTAAGTGGGCATTGAAAAAGAATCGTGCTTCGGTACCAACTTCCTTCGCTGCGGTTGCCAAGAAGTGTCAAACGACAAGTCCCATACTGCTTGACTGATGTCTGTTTATTAGCAGCACAGGCCGTGGTTGATAATCCTCCAGCATGAGTACATCAATACCAGTAATCCCTCTAGTGCTACCCGCATGCGCTCTGTCCATTTTGGGGGTCGCTTTATTGAACGAACTTAACCACTGCGTATGCGGATGAGTGTATGTTTTCTGTACTGTAACTGTATCACGTACATGTACGTATTGCACCATTGAGTCGTGGTGTGATATGCAAGTGGCTTGCTATCCTTCGTCCTTAGGGGCGCGTGATCAATTATCGAATTTGCAGTCCGTGAGGATAATAAGTGAGAACGAATTTGCTGGGATCGACCATGGAGGTAG